ATCAAATGACATACTTTATCACTCTATATTTTTATCATTTTGTCTGAAGTGTTTTCTAATCTTATCATAAAAGCCAGTTTTGAGTCAGCGTTTAAGTGGTTAAGGATTTGTCAAAATGCTCATGTTATCTCTCACCCTACTCCCTGTCCAGCCCTGCCCAGCCCTGCCCAAGGGGTGCCGGCGCCGGAGACCCCTTCTCCTCTTCTCTCGCCAGGTTCGTAAATTTTAATCTTGTGTCATTAGTCGGGTATCGTAGTTGAGGGGATGGTGTCAGTGAACCTCTCGTCTGGTCACTGCTGCCAGCTTTTTGGTTGCTAAGTTTGAAGAGTGAATCTAGCTTGTTGACTTCAGATCTGAGTAGCCTTAGCCATAACCATTTGTAGTGTGGTGTTTGAAGTGCATAGATTTGAGTTTCTTGCCTTCGTGTTCTGTTTTCTCTCCATTTGGTTGTTGGATGCTTCTTGGTGTTGTGAGTTGGGTTTGTGATTTGTCGGGGTGGGCATTAGTTTTATTCTAGGTACTTAGGTTTTTTGTTAGTTTTTTAGTTTCTTTTAATATTTTGTTGTTTGTTAGGTTGTCAGTCCCCTTTATGAAATTTTGTCTCGTTTGTTTGAGAGTTTGTGTTAGGGTTGAACCGGAGAGCTCTTATACTAAAAAGGTTCTCTCGTGGTTCATTTTATTTGTCACTTGACAGTTAAGATGTTCTTTGTAACCACTTGATTACTGATTGTATTCTTTTTGAAGTTTTGTTTGAAAAAAAAAAAACTCAAAAGTGTAACAAATTTAGTTATTATAGAGCTCCTGTATGAATATTGGTTTGGCATCATCCAAAAAATCTAAGTGTTTTCTAAAAGATTTTCTTGTTAGGCAAGCAAAATAAAATAAAAGAAAATTTTCTATTTATTTACTTGTTAATTAATTAAGTTCCTATTATTTATTATTAATAATATATGTTATATATTTATTATAATGTGTATTATGGAATCCTAAACCTTTAGGAGAAAGATCACATAATATATATCTTATATATTTACTTACCATATATGCCACATGCATTAATGAGCTTGATTCTATGCCATAATTAATTAGTTTTCTCTTTCTTGTAGGACAAGGAATAGGTGGCAAGGACTATGAAAGGATGAGCAATTCGTGCATAAGGAATTCTGGACGTTCTCTAGAAGGTCTAAGGAGGATTTGGAAAAATTCACCACAAGATCTTTGAAGATTTGGAAGATCGGCTATTTTAGGAAAATTGTGTTCTTACACGAGTCTGGGACTACGAGATTTCCATTGGAAACTCAATTCTGAAGATCCCCAAATCACATACAATCAAAGAAGATTTATTTTCCATGTTACTACACTATTTTTAGGAAGAAGATCAAATGAGATCGTGAAAAAAAGAAAGAACTTGGAGAAGACTCCAAGCCTAAGGAGTTGTATATATACCCTACTTGAAGATCGAATCATAGCTGCTGAGATCATTATCTTCCATTCAATATTCGAGCTTCAAGCCTTTTAGGTTTTAATTTCATTGTTAAGTTTTCAGTGTTCTTACGACATTGAAGAACTGAAGCCTTTTGTTTTGATTCTTTTGTTTTTTATTCAAACACTTTTGTGATCAGTACTTAGGGATTAAGTGCTGTTTTTAGCTCGAGGGATTCGAGAGTTAAAGTCCACGGGACGTGGCCGGAGAAGTAGTCGGTAGATTCGAGTATAATTGTTGGTTAAGCTAGAAGGCAGTTTTAGTTGCTGTAATTCCAAAACTACATGCATGTGCACAATCGAGTTATCAATGAAAGAGCTCTGAGGGGAAGTGAGACGCTTCCCTGAAGAGTTTTTTAAATCTTCGGTTTATTGCTTTCGCTATTCTAGTTGTTTATTTGTGTTCTAACAACGTTGAGCGCACTCATCGTAAAATACCTACGTTTCAGCTCCTAACACGGATTTGAGAATCATTTGCGTGTTATATGATCAATCAAGTAATGCATAAATAATTTTAAATTAAGTTCGTTTTTTCTTTTTTTTTAATAAAGACCGTACGTGGTCCTAAAATTTCTTCCACCACAAATTTTGTTATGTACAAATTAATTAATTAGTCCTTGAATCGACTGAAAGAGCAGTTTACGAGTGACTAATTAAACAATACAGTGACTTCAGTTTTTCATAACCATTGATTTAGATTTATGCATAAATATTCTGAAGCATATTTTGTTTTTTAATTAATAAAGATATCCATAAATGAAAGCAACTAGGCTACCCGCCGACGGAAGACGACAAGGAGTAAGAGCGTGCCATTTGTGGGCCTGCTACAAGGAACACTAAAAAATCTTCAAGTAACGTTTTATCTTTAATGCAACCATTTAGATAGTATATTATACATTTCCAATTTTATCATGAATAAAGGCAAGTTAAAATTTTTGGTCACGTATTCAATCACAAAAGCCAATAAGTGCGAGCGAAATTATATTTCAATCTAAGAAAATATTTGCCATTAATAAAGATATTAAAGTAATAATTATTGTAGGTAAATTATAATAAGATCTACTATTTAATGATAAGTAAATATATAGTTTGATAGATTCCTCAAAATTACTTATCATTATTTCGCTCATGTTCACATTTTGAAAATCAATTTTATGCTATGTAATGAATGTACAACGCGTTAGGTAAACTAGCACGTAGCTCGTGCGATGCACGGGATATAAGTATTAGTGAGTTATTTCCACAGAACTTGTCCGTTAAGTAGCTCGTGCGATTCACGGGAGATATTAAATGAGTGGACCATAGGGCTTGTCCGTTCAGGCCTAAAAAATAATAGAGTTTGATCATCTATCTTTTTACATCTTTTCATCAACATCATTTTTTTTGTCGGAACATTAAACCTGAGTCTGGTAGCTAGCCCGTAAATTAATAAATATATTATCTCGCTCACATGTTTATAATAATATAAATTTGATTTCACTATATATTTATTCATTGATATAAGAAAAATAACAATTTTACGTAATCTTGTTCCTCGTATAATACTTATATTATTTTATTATAAAATTTATTGTAGTATAATGTCATTATTATTATAAGTTATAGATGTAATCTTCTTCTTCTTTTTGTTTTATGTATTAAAATATTTAATGTATGTTCATATTATTTATTAATTTAATTAATTTAAATTATGTAAATAAATTTAAAGTAAAACATTATGTACAAACATTTTACAAAATATACACAAATGTTTTTTTAGAATTTAATTTTTTTACAATAAATAACAGCTTTGAAATTCTATGCAATTATTAAAACCGATTAAACCCGCTTTATTAAAATCGATTAAATCTTTATTTATAAGCTTGACATTAAAACTAATTTTATGAGATTTTTTTAACTAAACCGATGTTATGGAATAAAACAAATCTATACTTACATTTGACTTTTCCAGCAAGGTAAAAAAATCTGTTCTGATTTTTATCCCATAACAAATCTTTAATGTCAAACTATAAATCCAAAACAAATCTGTAATTAATGTCATTCTATTTCCAGCAAATATTAATTACCTTTGACTTTTCTTTATACTAAATCTAGTAAATGGGATACCTTTTAATATAAGTATAGATTTTAACGATTATGATATCTAATTTTCGACGCTTAATTTCATAACATGAATTTGTTACTATGTGTATTTTTATATTTCAAAACTTACTTAATCTAAACTTAAAAAAAAAAAAACATATGTAGTCATTAAATGTTTACAGCACCATAAACCACTTGGATAATTCAGAAACAGGTGGCTTGCATATCTCTGCTACTTTTTGAGGTTTTTAAGTAGATTAACGGATTTAGACATTGAAAAGTTATATATTGAACAGACATCTATACTTCTATAAACAACAAAATAGAAAGATACAAACGAGTTGATAATTATAATTAACAATCCCACATCATAGCAGTAAAAATGGCAAAATTTCAAAATAATACACTACGCTATAGCATTGTTCGAAAAGAAACTTTAATTTCAACCTCATTAAATTCGATNTAAAAAAAAAAAAAAAGGTTATACTTGTCTAACATGGCTTGATAATTTTTTTACATATCATTGATCTTTTTTGTTCGTCGACCAAATGATATCACACTAGTATTCGACCATGTGCATTTACACAATATAAATAGAATATTCTAAGTTACATTTATGCATATAGTATTAAAATTATGAGTTATACAATGATATTATATATTAAGCATATAGTATTATGAGTTATATTTATGCATATAATAATAAAAATATAAATTAGATAATGATATTATGTTTTAAAATTTGATCATTGGTTAAAATAAATAGTACATAACTATTTGATTGCATATGAACCACTATATTAATTACATAAAATATAATAAATAATGTAATTTTGAGAGATCGCAAATTTATTAGCTTAAAAATATTAAATTTATTATAACATTTGATTATGCTATTTTAAGAAATTTTATTATAACATTAAAATAAATTAACTTATTTAAAAATACAATCGCTAAATAAGATAAAAAAAATATAATATTAATTTTAAAATAAATAATTTTAACAAAAAGTTTACAATAATTTTTTATGTTTATGTAACTTTCATATATCATTTAGTGTAAACTATACTAAAAATAGTATAATTATTACTCCGTTAATATAAAATGTAACGATTTTTGTCTTAGTTAACCCTAGAAAAAGTGCAATGAAATATTTAGCATTAATTAGATATGATGAATTAATAATAATAATAATAATAATAATAATAATAATAATAATAATAATAATAATAAAAGATTGTAACATAAAAAGATGGTAAACAATAATTAATATTGTTAAATTTATTGTTAGTAATTAAATATAGAGAGATAGATATAAATGATAAAGTTTGTAACGGTTTTTGGAGGAAAATCGAACTGAGGTTTTATTAAATGTTTTATTAAATGCTATTAGCTAGCAATTATATATATATATAGATTAAACAAATTTAATAAAGAACTTAATTAGGATCTGCTGCTACCTTTTTAGAAAATTTTCAGCATTGTCCAACATCCATTTTTGCCAAGCTCATAGCTCATGTGAGCGGCCAGAGCTACCCTAAAAAATATCAGTCAAACAAAGACTATTTATACTTGTTCAATTGTTGGTAAAACTTATCTTGCAACACATATTCACAAGGCTGTCGATGTATTTTTGGCGAACTTTTGGCATGTACGGGGTCAATTTTGGTCAAATGACCCAACATTTATATAGCCATAAACTTTAAATAATCCGAAGATAATCATGCGTTTATATAGGAATATTATACTTTAAATAAATAAACAAAAAATATCATATTTCATAGTTTAATTATGTATTTTTTTTTTTTTTAAAAGGACAGCTTCTATATTAAAATCTTTTGCTATGCTGTTGCACGCCCCTTAGCCCAGGCAACAATATTTATTTATTTATTTTCACTCAACAAATCAATTGAAAAAAAAAATAAAAAAAAATTAAAAATACTACTCTATCTACTAGCCTTCCTAACAACCCCTCACCACATGCCTACACAAAAATCACTTTGCCAAGTAAGGCATCTTAATTATAATCTGTCCAAGAATCCAACCTCAGATCCCTCAACCAAAAAAAAAAAAAAATGGAGGACTTAGCACTACAAGTCAAGCAAGAAGAACACGAGATCTTGATCTCGTTCGACGGACCCAAACGACGGTCGATCGGCGTTCGAAAACGGCCGTGGGGAAAGTACGCGGCCGAGATCCGTGACTCGACTAGAAACGGGATTAGGGTTTGGCTCGGGACTTTCGACACGGAGGACGAGGCGGCCTTAGCCTACGACCAGGCGGCGTTTGCCATGCGGGGCCCGTCGGTCCCACTAAACTTCCCGCTCGAGAAAGTGGTCGAGTCTCTCGAGCGGATGAACTACCGGTGCGCGGAGGGCTCGTCACCGGCCAAGACTCTCAAGGAGTCCCACCAGAGGATATCGACAACCAAACATAGGATTACGAGTGATAATAATAATAGTGGGAAAGGACAAGAGGTAATGAAGGATGTGGTGGTTTTTGAGGATTTGGGATCTGATTTGCTGGATGAGCTTCTGGCTTGAGAGTTCTTTCAGCTAGTGAGTGAACTCTTTTTGGTAATTAAATATTGTTTTTTTTTGTTGATGATCATGTGTTGTTTTGGTCATTTGGATATAGTTCCCTTTAGTTTCTAGATTTGTTTTTTTAGCTTCATTTAAACCGTAGCTAGATTACTATATCAACCCTTGTCTTGGTGTGTTTGTAATTGAATTGCACAATGAGAATTGGGATGTGGAGTAACTTGTGATTAATTTGGAGTTGATTTTAGAGTTCAAGTTATTTCAATATTCTTGATGCAATTCGTTTTGAGAAATAAAACTCAAAAAATTGTATATTTTTTATTCTCCAGTAATTTGGTTTTTGTTGACCCCCAATAATCCCATTAATGTGTTCTTTAACAAGTCTAAATGTTCTATTTGTTTGAAGGATATGGATACAAAGAGGGAATATCACGAGCCGATGATTTCATGTGGTTCAGGCTTTTCTCGAAGGCCCAAATATTTACACGCCAACTACAACGCTGACAATTTAATTTTTTCATCGCAGAAAGTGTGAAGTATTATGTGAATTAATTGCATAATTGTCGCATATTAACCACATAACTGTCACATCTTTAGTGGGACTTTGCATTTTAACTTTTTCACCACTAGAAAATGCAAAGAGTTATGCGAATGGACCGCATAAGTGTTGCATATTCATCATATAATGCTTTCGTACTTTTTTGGAATGAAAAAATTAACTTGTCAACAAGAAGTGTGAAAAACTTAATATAGTTTCATATGGAATGAAAATAGCTATTTTTTTCTCGAATCAGAAAATATGCTGAAAAGGATGTACATATGCCGCACTATGGCTCTATTTGAACTTCTAATTATGAATTTATATTGAATGTTATCTAAGCTATATAAAGTGTAGGGGTGAGCACATGTTGCTTGAAGAGCTAATATATATGCATAAAATGTACAAGGAGTGTTGTGCATATATGATTGAAGAGTGATAAAATGTAGAGTCAATGTTGTGCATGCTACACTTGTATTCTAACTTAAGTTTGAATTGTACATTTGTATTGTTTATTATTTTGCTTATTAAGTTTGAATTGTACATTCGTATTGCTTGTTAACTTTGAGTTAGATTTTACTAGATTTTGTTATTGTTAAGCATAACAGAAATTAGTAGAACAATTAAAGTTTATTTATAATAAAAATTATTGAATTAGATTTTATTATTGAGATGTGGCACCAGCAAGAAAACGGCTTTGGCTGAGAAACGTAGTCATGAGCACCTATGTTCGTCCTCACCAGTAAATAACGTCAAGCCCTTAACAGAAATTAGTAGAACAATTAAAGTTTATATATAATAAAAATTATGGAATTAGATTATATTATTGTTAAGCGTAATAGAAATTAGTAGAACAAATTAAAGATTATATACATAATAAAAATTAGTAGAACAAATTAACTTTGAATCGTTTATTTGAAATGCAGATTTTATAATTGTTAAGCATAATAAATTAATAGAACAAATTAAAGTTTATAAATGATTGAAAAGATGTCTTCTCTAACTGTTCTCCACCCTCATTGAAATATAGAATGATTTTGAATAAAGACTCCCAATTAAGGACAATAGAATGATTTTGAATAAAAAGACTCCCAAGGACAATAGAAAGAGCTCATTGGAATAGAATGATTCTAATAAAAAGACTCTCCCAATTAGGACAATAGAAAGAGAATGTTGAGACTCGACCAAACAAACTTTTTGAAGCGAAGTTAATCAAACAAACTTTTTGAAGCGAAGTTTAGTATGCGAATGTTTCTCTAATGGTTCTTTATAGTTTTATCTACATGCATGCTCCTGATTTAGTTTACTGATGAGATGTATATATATTGACAAATTGATATAATTCTATAGATCTAACTGCATCTACCACTAACATAATAAGATGAGTTTTTAGTTATCATTTAAAACTTATGTCATCAACATTATGTATATATATATTGGTATCATATTAATCTAACCTTTAAAAAAGTTTATCCATCCTGTTCTAGTAGAATTTGAAAGAATACATAGAATTTTCACGACTATTGTGTGCTTTCTAAAAAGTTCTACTCCATTATTGATGGTTGCATATGTATCTCGTTCCATTTATTCAATGTGTAGGTTAGGGGAATGATGTAGAAAAAAATAGTGAATAATTTAATATACTCACCGTTTGAAGTCGGATTCAGGCATAAATCATGAAAAAATACAAATTTTATGTGATAAAGCTTAACCGCTAAATGAGTCGACTCATAGTATATATGAATAAAAATAATTATTTATAATACTATATGTTACAATTTTTTTTCTAAAATATAGCTCTTTTTTAAACAAAAAATATACACATTTATTACAAAATATATTTCTCTAGTAATTAATCTGAACTAACAATAATAAATTAGTTCAATGTATCAGTTGAACTATATTGTTNTCCATTTTGAAAGTCGGACCAGTCCGACGGGTCTGGGTGGGTTAATTGGACCGGGTAGAAAAGGACCCGGTCAAACTGGCTTTGACCGGCCATTAAATATATTTTTCCTTTTTAGTTTTATAAATAAATTATATGTATGTATTTTTTAAGACTTTCGGGTATAAAATTTACATATAAAATAAATATAATTTAAAATTTTGTAAATTTAATTACATGATTCAACAATTGACCAACCGATAACTCGGCGATTGGACCGGTGACCAGATGACCGTGAGTCCAGCTCGAGTCAATCACCAATTCAGGTTTTAAAATTATAGTTTTTCCTCCGTTTCATTTTACTATTTTGTTTTTCTCATTTTTGATCCGGGTGCAGTGGAACAAGCCCACTGTCCATTGTGTCGCCCAAATTTTATGGCCTTTTATTATATTTATATAATTGAGAGAAGAGGGTGCGGTCCCACCAGATGAAGCGCACCATAAGAGGGTGAGCCTAGTTGTACCATAGTGAGGTTCCATACCAAAACCAATTGGTGATGGGAGGAGTAACCCACTAGGCTTATATGCTAGACTCATTTTCCCTATAGAATCAATGTGGGACAACTCACAAGTGATATTCCAACACGCCCCCTCACTTGTGAGTCCTTCGTAAGTCCAAGCCCATATAGCAGGCTTGGATAGAGAGATAAGCCCAAGCCCAGAGCAGGCCTGGTAGAGAGAGTCATTGCAGGTCCTAGGACAGGCCCGCTCTGATGCCATATTATATTTATATAATCGGGGGAAGAGGGTGTGGTCCCAATAGATGAAGCGCACCATAAGAGGGGGAGCCTAGTTGCACCATAGTGAGGTTCCATCCCAAAACCAATTGGTGATGGGAGGAGTAGCCTACTAGGCTTATATACTAGACTCATTTTCTCTATAGAATCAATGTGGGACAATTCACAAGTGATATTCCAACACCTTTTCATCATGAAAGTGAAAAGCGGGCCGACCTGGCCGACGGAAGAAGACATATGTGATTATGAAAATATGACAATTATACCATACACCTGTAATTAATTATGTCTTTACCTAAAAAATAACATTTAATTGAATTAATGCTTAGATTCAGTTACTATTTAATGCTAACTTCCCCTTATCTATTGCGTGATTTCCATTTTGGTTACTAGAACAAAAGAAAAAGGAAAAAATCTTGCAGATATTACTGTGGTGAATGGATTACGGGAAATAACAACTCTTGATAAATTTCTTGTTTTTCGCGAGGTGGTAGAAACTGCATAATATATCGAAAATATACTGAATATAAACCCTAATATTTTTACTGTCAAGAGTTCGTCAAATATGTATCAGTTTTTGAATATTTTTTAGCATATATTGCATTCAAATATGATTTTATTTATATACAAAACATCAAATGTTAATAAACTGAAAATATACTGTCTATATACTCAACATATACTCAATATATATCAAATAAATTGTAAATATACATCAAATATATTGTTTATATACTCAACATATACTCAACATATATCAAATAAACTGTAAATATAAATCAAAGTGTAAATACTCTACATATACTGTACACATACGACACCGTCGTCCCCCGAGTTTACCGCCCTCCGATCCGGCCCCCAGACCGGCATCATCCGCCTCTCCGACGACCTCCGCCGCCGCATCCTATCCTTCCACGCTCTCCCTTCTTCAACGCCAAGTCTTGGTGCATTTTTGGAGAAAGGAACTGATTTTTTCGGGCGTCATTTAACGTGGGGAAAACGAGGATGGTACACGTGCATAAACTCTGATTTTGAAGAAGGGTTACAAGATTCTTGACATCTGAAAGTGAGATTAGGTACTAAGTTCTCATGGGATGCCATTTCTCAAAGAGAGATATTTTTTTTTTCCAATTTCTCAAAGAGAGTTGTGTATAAAACTTTGCTAATTTGTGTATATAAACAGAGAAAAAAATTAACTAACAAGTAGTGGTCGCCGGTCTTTGATCGGTCATTAAAAAAAACAGAGAAAAATTTCAACTGTAAGGAAAGAGAAAGTATAAACGTAAAGTTGTAGAAGAAGAAGAGAAGGAGAGGGAGAGGGAGATGGAGAGACAAAGAGAGAGGGGAGAGAGAGGGAGAAAGTGTCGTACATATTTAGGTAAGTATAGAGTTAATTTCAATTAATGATATCATTAGCATTTAATATGCCAGAAAAAAAGTAATAACGGTTACATCTCACATATGAGGTATAATTGAAATATTTTTAGCTTGTTTAGACAATTTTATAAATAAAAATATAAGGGGTATATAAATGTAATAAAAATCATACCTTATGGTAAGAGGTGTAAATTCCTCAAAACAAATTTCGGACCCAAAACCCAATCAAGAACTTTCTCACTTTGGCATTTCAAATGATTGGAAAAGAGCTTGAAAACGAAAGTTTTCGAGGTGCAGTCCGTGCAATTGGACTAAACCGATTTCAATCGAGTGAAAAAAAAATGCATGTATGGTCGTTTTGAACTGGCGTAATTTGTGTGTTATACTCATCAAATATGCCACATAA